CCCCAAAACCCCAAAACCCCAAAACCCCAAAACCCCTCTTTCTGGAATATTTAGAAGAGGCATTATTTATATAAATTATTCTTAATGGCCGACTTCCAGCAACCAAAAAATCAAAAGGATATGCATTATGAGAGACTTGATGTTGAAGCTGTTGGGGAAGAGATAAAAGTACCCCAAGATCAAGAGTATTCTAGAGGGTCACATTCAAGAAAAGGCCATCCTCGTGATTACTTCAATGGCGAATCCAGCCACAGCGGGAGCTTTTGAAGAGACATCGATGACGAAGTTAGAGGCGGATTCATATCAAAGGTTTATGGAATTATTAGCTTCCAGCTCATAGTAACAGCTGTCTTTGTCCTTCTTGCTATTGGAACTGGGTTTGGACACTGGCTTCTGAGAAATATGTGGTTCAGCATTGTATGAATGGTAGGTGCTATAATCACAGAGATTATGATAATCTGCTGAAAATATGGAAGAGTTGTACCCCAAAACTACATCTGCTTGTTTTCATTCACATTCTTTGAATCTATTGTAGTTGCAACAATTTGAGCAAGTGTAAACAGTCCCTTTATCGTTCTTGTAGCTGCTTTCATGACCTGATGTCTCGTCCTGACTCTCACAGCCTACGCTTTTTACACAAAGGAAGATTTTACAGCTTGTGGCTCTGTTGCATGGGTGATGCTCTCATCCCTTCTAATCCTTGCTATCTTAATGTTCGTTTTCCCGAGTAGGATCTTACACATTATCTACTGCACAGCAGCAACTCTTATTTTTAGCTTCATTCTGATTGCTGACACTCAGATGTTAAAAGGAGATAAAGAAGAAAGATTCGGAGAAGACGACTACATCCTAGCTGCCTTAATGATCTATATTGATATTATCACCATCTTCCTTCAGCTAGTCCAGCTACTCGCTCAAGCAAGTGATTAAAATTCTGTTAAAAAATTCCACATCTATATAATTTCGACCAAATCCATTTCTTCTAGATTTTCAACGACACTTCCATCAAACGGGGTTTTGGGGTTTTGGGGTTTTGGGGTTTTGGGG